AGACAGTAGTGCATCTCAGGTGACACCAATCCTAATCTTTGTCTGAGTGTACTGTGCTGGTTTGTTTTATTGCTAGTGTATAAACAGCTTATTCTTGTGATCTGTCAGCATGATTTTTTGTTCTGTTTTGTTCTTAAACCAGAATCTATTTCACTTGCTTTCTTTGCCTACAACATTAGCTAGTTTCTGTGAGCATTTAGCAGGGAAATGTATCTCTTATTTAAATTGGAAGAAACTATAGATACACACTGTGTGTTTGAGAGATCACCTAGGAGAGCTTGATAGAAATACATGGTCATATTGTGAAGTCTCTGTCTTATATTATTTAGATCCAAATTCTCACCAATATTGCTATCTCTGGTAGTAGGTTATTTCCCAGACAGACACTCCGATTTTAGTAGTATTAATGAGTCTTCTATCATAACTGAAGTAATGTGACCTGTGATTGTGCACTCTTCACAACAGTGTGACTGAGTGCTCAGATGTTTGAGTCCTTCACACTGTAACAGTTGTGAAGTTTCCTTGTCAAAAGAACATAGAATCATAGAATCATAGAATCATAGAATCGATTGGGTTGGAAAAGACCTCCGAGATCATCGAGTCCAACCCTTGGTCCAAATCCAGTCCATTTACTAGATCATGGCACTCAGTGCCACGTCCAATCTGCGTTTAAAAATCTCCAGGGATGGTGAATCCACCACCTCTCTGGGCAGCCCATTCCAATGCCTGATTACTCTCTCTGTAAAGAATTTTCTCCTGATATCCAACTTAAATTTTCCCTGGCGGAGCTTAAGCCCGTGCCCCCTTGTCCTATTGCTGAGTGCCTGAGAGAAGAGACCAACCCCCACCTGGCTAGAACCTCCCTTCAGGTAGTTATAGACGGTGATGAGATCACCTCTGAGCCTACTCTTCTCCTCTTCTTCAGGCAAAATACCTCCTCAGAGGGTATAGCACCATTTATAAAAAGTTTTCACTGGACCTTCTCGCAAGTGATCATTTGTATAACAGGCTGTCTTTGTAGTTGTTTGACTAGGGAGGGGAGAGGGCAAAGGACCAGAGCTAGCAAGATGGATGCCAAAAAGAACCCCAAACTACAAAATGTTCTTGCCACAGTCCAGCAGTACTGAAACACAGTACTTAAAATTGAGACTACTTGTATGCTTATGCCTTTGGAATAGAAATTTTGCACTTTGCCTTGTTAGGGCATATGGCACAAATTTAGTGCTTATGGCAGAAATCTTTAAAAAAGAAGACACATACTGCTGTTAACTCTGTTTTACAGACTAACCTCCAGAATCCATTCTCCACTGCACAAGCAGGTTCCTGTACTGAGGAATAAGCTCAGATCTTACTGTAGTCAGAAATTCGCTGCGCAATCTTGTCCCAAATTGCATAGTGCAATCTGCTGCTTTTTTAGAACTAGAGAACTACTTTCTGCCTTAATTTCTTTTCTCTCATAAGTGCTATGATTATAAAAGAGACAGATTTTAGGGAAAGAAATACCTTTTTTTGTCAGACAACTGATGTAGCTGGAAAAAAACAGGCAAAATTTTGACAAGAAATTCTTCTGTTTGGAATCAAAAGCAGCAAAACTTGTGCTGATTACTAGCTGTGAATGGTTTTTCTATGTCAATGATCCAAGCCATGCATTTAAATAGCTACATAAATTATTTAAGAGGGCCTTGTTAGTAAAGAAGCTTATGACACACAAAAAAACCAGTGATCTGACAGAAATAAAGATAATTTAGCACCTGGGATATAGCATCTGTTGGAAAGAAGGGTAATAGCAATTACAATATCAGAAAAGTCTTATGTGCCATAAAACCAGCTGTCCTAAGTCCATAGCTTTTGGCATTCAGTGGAATTGTTAGTCTTACCTTTTGAAGGCATTTTGTATGAATATCTCTTGAGCTATAGACCAGAGATGAAGTAATCGTTTAGGGAAAAGTTCTTACTAGCTGCAAGTGTGCCTTTTTCATCTTCTACGGATTATCAGTGTGAATTCTTGCTGATGCATAGTACTTAAGTGTTTCTGGACAAAAAGCAGATAATTTCTTCCAAAATATTGCTTCCCAGGAAAGGAACAGGCACTTTTAAAATTCCCCCCTCCTAGGAGAAAATCAGCTCCTCCTCACAACCTCAAACTAAGCATTATGAATGTGTGGGACATTTTTCTGAAATCCAAGTTACACATTGTGAAGCAAATTATCAAATTGCTTTTAAAATAGCAGTTTAGTGTGCTGGTATATTTAAAGATAATTATCCTGCTTAATTCTTTTATTCGTTATGGAAAATCATATATGTGCTTTTTCCTCAAATGACTTCATCTTCTCATTCTCTGACACTTTGATATGACTCAGGATCCTAAAAAAGTTTTGGGAAATTTTCATTTTGGCTGAAATGTTTTGGGTATTTTGTCTTAGTATCAACAATGCATTATTACTGACCTCCCCAAAAATTTGAAGGAGTTGGAAGCTGGTGCAAGAATTTAAGTAAATTACTAGTTTCCTGCCTCATAACTTCAATTTTTGCTTGACTTTCATTATGGGCTGAATGTCTCTGCTCAGAAAAAATCTCAGAAGTTTTATGTAAGTTATTGTAATTGCTGTTCCCAGCAATGAAGTAGAGGGTTGGAAATGTCTATAGGGAAGAAGAGCAGCCCTGTTGCTTTTGCTGTATTTGACTCAAACCAGTGCTTTTAATTCCTCACCTGTGCAAGTATCAGAATTCCCTTCTGGTTTGGAAAGTTTCCGCTAGCAATAAAAAATGCCAATATTTGGTAAAAGTAATGTCTACTCTGGAAAATACTGCGGGGTTAGTCAAAACTTCCCAGCTGCCAAGCATGCTGGTGTAGAGGGAAATGGGAATGATGAGGGAGTGGAGCAGTAGCTTCATCTGTGTGGAGAACACAGTACACTTCTCCTTCCTCCTCAAACATACCTGAGAGCAGCTGCTCATGAGGGCTTCGGTAATCTGGAGTTAGGCAGCCAAATATCGCAGAACACTTTTTTTCCCTCCTAGTAAATTAAAATCAGGAAGCTACACTGTAATATCATTAATGAAAGGTTGGGAGTGTTTAAACCCTTGCTATCTTTATATTTGAATTGTACACATCTGTTTAGATTGTTTCCAATGTGTTCTACAAAGCATAGAAACACGAAGATGCTTTCAAATCCAAGGTTAGCCCAACAGGGTCAAACATGCTGTTGAGTGGTGAGAGTGGCAGCTACGTGTACCAGAGAAAGCACTGACATGCTGTGGGATGTTTGCTGCCCGCATGGAGCAGACAGACAGTCTTACTTAAATGCATCTCTGCTGAAGGGCTCTGACAAGGTGTGTTACGCTCCATTTATCACCTTCCAGAGTCAGCCCTGAAAAATAGGAATACATATTTCTTTTATTTGATGTTTAGCATAACATAGCAGGACATGAGTGGATATGGCCTAAAATGTGAGTAGGTGCTGGTGGTCATGATTCCAACATAAAATGTACACCCTGTAGTACAAAAACAAACAAAAGCCCCAGCATCTGTATTTTCAGGGTAACAGACTCTTAGCTGATGTGCAACAGCTACAACTCCCAAGTAGTGTGGTTGAATACGGGCCCTGGAAGGGTCTGTGGCATGGTGCCCCATTTGCCCTGGCAGCCACAGGCCCCAGGCCAGGTGTCTGTCGGGTGCCACACACTCCTGTGCTCTTGACAGGCATCCTTATCGCCCCACTGCCCTTCGCTGGGTGCAGCATGCTGTTCTTGTGGAAGAGAAAAAGCACATTTATTTGCTTAATGTCAGCCTCCTGCCATCCCTCAGTGGGCAACGGGATGTGGCATGGTACATCCCACACCAACCCATCCGCACTGCAGGACACATTTGGGCCCTTATTGACAATAGCTAAAGCCTTCCTCTTATTTCTTTTAGGGCTGAGGGGGTGTGTCTTTCCTTTCTTGTTTCTTTTCCTTCTTTTTTGACATCTATGGAGCTTATCCAACAGGTGTAGTTGAATATAACTTAGATGTAGACTACAGACAAATTTGGGTCTTAATCCACATAAAAGAGTTACTAAAGAGGCAGGTGAGAAACACAAAGTTCCACTGCAGGCTCTAAGGAGATAAAGAGTTTGAGAAAATCCCTTAAGAAATTCAGTCAGGATCCTGAATGTCAGAAAGCAGGCAGAAGCACCTCTAAGTTGCACAGAAATTAAATCCTTTCCCAGTTATCTGTACTTAAAACACAGCTACGGATTAGTATGCTTCTAGGCTGAAAATACGCTAAGTTTTAATCCAAATTCTCCCATATCCCAGCTGATTATGACCTTTCTATCTGAAGTGCATAATAATTCCAGGTATAACAACATTGTTCCTGTTACAGCACCAGAGAAAAATCATCTGCTGCTTGGTTTTATTGTTGTTAGGAAAAGTGCATCAAGTGTTGTGAAGTGTCCAGCCTAGCCTGTTGCACTGCTTTAAACAGAACCAGGGTGAAGGCAATCACCTTCTCCTTTTCCTGGGGTTTGATATGTGCCATGACTCCTTACAGAAACTGCCAGGGCTGTTGTCATGGTCCCATATTATGAAAAAGCCCTCTAGGTTGCCAGCAATTAGCCACATAGAACTGAGTCTATCATTCCACTGGGTGTTAGGTGATTATCCATAAACTTGCTCACTGATACCAGAGGTAAATATGAATCATAAACTGTTATATTTTAAACAGAATTATTTAAAACTGCTGCATTACTGCGGATTGTATTGCTTTCCAGGCACCATGCATATAATGTTAGGACAATTTTACTAGAACTTGACTGGAGCACAAACTGCTTTTGAAAAAACTTTTTGGGAGAACCTGCACTCAAAAAATACTAACGTCTGGTTTGTGTCAGCAGCACATTTGAATTTTATATGTTCATTTTTACCTGTAAAGGTAAAGACGTATAATAAGCTTATGTGATGCAATGATTTTATGATTATGGTTTTATCTGAATAACTGTATCTGTTTCTTTTCATAGAGAGAAATTCTAGAACAGCAACAACAAGAGAGATGTGACACAAGTTTTCATAGTATGTGTATGTTCTGCGATCAAGAATTCACAGGAAACAGGTTTGTTTATTGCCCTATTTACTTTTGGTGTATTTTTTTCATATCTACTCAGCACCTTTCTTTATGGTTTTAGTGTCATCAAACCAGTTACTGCCTAATGGTAGGACTCAGAAGATAGAATTAATTTTAAGGTATAGTTTGAGTATTTTTTTCAACTGCAGTGCCATTTTAAATAGACCCTGTCATTCCAAAACAACTTTTTGTACTACACAGTAAGCTGGAGTTGGGAACCAGCTGTTTTAAAGAGAGACGGGTTTTTTGGCAGTTGTTTTAGTGGCAAGGGGACCTGCTTAAGCCAGTATAACTGTTAAAAAATATTTCTATGCAGTTGTACATTTTCCTATTTAAACCTCGCCAAACCAGTGTGAATTTGAATATCAAATGAAAAAGAGGAGAGAAAAATTAGAGTGAGAATGGAGCGCTTTGCAGCATCAGTCAAGCAGGAGCAAGGATTGCATTGAGATGCTTGCTCTAAGGAAACTTTGTGTGGTGGGTTGACCTTGGCTGGACTCCAGGTACTCACCCAGCCACTCTATCACTCCCCAGCCGGACAAGGGAGAGAAAATAAGATGGAGAAAAACTCATAGACCAAGATAAGGCAGCTTATTAAAGCAGAAGCAAAAGTTTGCTCACACACAAGCAAAGAGAAAAAAAAATTAGGTTTACTCTCTACTTCCCATCAGCAAGCAATGTTCAGCCACTTCCCGGGTAGCAGTGCTTCAACACATGTAGCGCCTGCTCCAGAAGGAAACATAATGAATGCCCCACTCCTTCCTACTCCTTTCCTTAGCTTCTATATCTGAGCTGATGTCATATGCTATGGAATATCTCTTTGGTTAATTTCGGTCAGCTGTCCTAGTTGTGTCCCCTCCCAGGATCTTGCCCATCTCCAATCCCTTGTTGCAGGGGGAAAGTTGAGGGACAGTGCTGATGCTGTGCCATCACTGCCCAGCAGTAGCCAGAACACTGGTGCGTTATCAACACCTTTCTAGCTACCAATGCAAAGCAGAGCACTGTGAGGGCTGCTATGGAGAAATGAACTCCATCGCAGCCAGACCTAATAGACTTTGTTTTTACACAGTAAATCAGTTTCAGCTGGAGAAACTGAGTCTTCTTGCATGGTTAGGTCTGGTACTCTGGAAGGGTAGGAGAACCTGGGGTCATATGCCTGCAGGTTGTCCCAGTGTTGTGTGAATGTCCTCTTCTCTTCACTGTTTGGTGAAGTTCACATCATTCATCCCACAAGAACTTCATCCTCTGATTACTCTTGGGTCTGACACATAGAATGCATGGATTTAAAAAAGTGCTGGACTGTGGTAAAAGTAAATATCAACACTCACATGTTTCTTTAGTCTCCAAAAGCAGAAGCTGAGGCATATAGAGAGGTTGAGCACCTAAGGAGTTAACCAGTATATCTCTATTAGAAAAATAGCTTATTTGAACATCCATTATGTTTGTTTGTGTGTACTTTTGAGTGCTGTTGTGTGTACTTTTGAGTGCTGTATGAAGCAATATTGATGTAAAAGCATATCACATCCAAGAATTTCTGCTCTTCTAACCAGCATAGAGAAAACTGACAAATGGCTTTTTAAAATGTTTCTCAAGAGGGTTGTTTGAAATGTGATTTGCTTGTACAAGTTAATAAATGAGCTTTTCTAACAGCGAGAGTCAAAATAAACTGTACTATAATTTTCATTTAAAGTAGTATACTTCGTGTATGCAGACTGAGCGGTTGAAATGTTACTGAACGCAGCGGAGCTGAAAATGATAACTTCCTGTTTCAATAAAGTTGCATTCTTTTTTCCTAGGAGTGGCAGCAAGACTATTATTGTTTATTTAATGTTGGCTTTTATGCATTTTTAGAGCAATTGGTGTATTTGAAATCACTAATTGAATAAGTCTCATATTTATCCAAAAATATGTAATGTTCTATTTGAATGTCGTTTCTAGATCTGTCCTTCTCAATCATATGGCAAGAGAGCATGCTTTTAACATTGGGCTGCCAGATAATATTGTGAATTGCTATGAGTTTTTGGCTGTATTACAGGGGAAGCTTGACAAGTGAGTAGTGTTTTGTTTGTTTATTTTTTCAATAAACATGGGTCATATTAATTTTAACCTTGGAAATAGGTTAAAATGAATTCAACGTTCATGGTTAGTTAAGAAGAAACAAAGACAGCATGTAAGTTTATTGTGAGTCGTCTTAGTCTTTTTTTTGACTTATTGAAAATTAATTCATAACAATTCATACTATGTGTTTGCTGGAAAAAGTCATGTGCAGTTCTTCAGTTGTTATACATTGCACAATTTCCATCAATAACAGTACACGCCTTTTTATCATAACTGTTAATGTTCTTTCTCATCATAACAATCTTTTTACTAAATGTCTCTTTAATCACTGAATACAGAGTTCTTGTGCCAATGTTCATTTGCTTCTATGTCATGAATGTGGGATATGTGGTTTCTCCCTTCTGTGCTGCTTACAGAGTACATCCCAGAGGGATAGATGCATGTCAGCTTTTTCTAGGAATGAAGATGTATTAACAATGCCTTTTCTTTTATCATTGGTCTTACCTAATGCACTGAATTACCACGCTCACTGATAATTTGCATCTTTCCTATTTATCAGGAGGACCTGAGGCTTTCAGTTAAATGGAGTTTTCTCAAAGCTAATCCTCCCTACAGTTAATAAACACATGCTGAAATTCTGTCAGAGTAGTGAAAGGCCACTCCTCCTACCTGTAAGAATAGACTTGATACCTGTGCTAGTAGAATAGTACCTGAAAATAAATCATTAAGAGGAGAAAAATCTTGTTTCAGGCAAATATGATGACATTATGTATGCTGAGGAAAAGCATTACACACTCTTCCTGGGAATGCCTTTCTCAAGTAGAGCAAACGCTTTGCTGTTAGCAGGTAGAGCAAAGCAGATATTAAAATTCACAGATGTATTCTGCCATTGACCTATGATTCACCAACAAGGCAATACTGATTTGAAGCCTGAAAGCACAAGGAGAAATCAAAACTTCTTAAATGTCTTGGAAGGCAAAAAGATACTGAGAATCCTGAATTGCCGCTCCACACAGAAGAGCTGAAGGGAATCTGGAACCAAAACAGTTCTATTATGCTGATTGTAAGAGACAATGTAAGGCAGTGCATATACTTCTGTTTTGTTTGAATTGATCTGGAAGACATACTGTGGTAAAATTCTCATTTATTAATGAATGTTTTCGCCTTGTCAAGTAATGTGTATATGCACACATATATATAATACTTCATGTCTATATACATATGTATGTACATATATGCATATACTTATGTGTATGTATGTATACCCATATATATGAAGTTTATATATATATATATGTATGTATGCATGTGTATATGGATTTACTTACTGAATTTTATTTCTCAGGATTTCAAAACCCATTGATCACCCTGGCAAACTTTCATTTAACCTCTCTTTTGAGACAGAATCATAAAAACTTTCTGTTTAGCTAAGTTAAATTGTTTCAAAAGAGAAGTAGTATGTTCAGGAGATTGGATTTTTTTCACTCTGAATTACAAAGAAACAGTTACAGATGGGTTGGATGCCAGTATAAATGTATGCTGAGTTAAAGAGTTCACATGTTGACCAATCAATGGCCTTCCCAGGCCAATTTTGGGTATTCAGACTTTTCTCCCACTTTGCATAGAGGGCCAACAGGTAACATTTTATTATCTGTATTTTCATTTTATACCGTTGTTATTTCTGTGTTTGATTCTACTGTGATCTAAGCTTATCTTGTTTTGGTGTTTTTTTCAAATAACTTTTTATTTAGCTTGCTTTCACATGCTTAGGATTAATCTTACTGTACGTAACTCCAGCTTATTAAAGGTTATTATGTTGTACTGTTTTCCTTTTAACCTGCTGACCTGTTTACCTTTTTATTTTAGTTTGCAGTGTTTATATTGTGAAAAAGTCTTCAGAGACAAAAACACACTTAAAGATCACATGAGAAAGAAGCAGCATCGCAGAATCAATGCCAAAAACAAAGAATATGACAAATTTTATATCATTAATTACTTGGTAAGTAGTTCTATGAATAATTAGTAAATTGACTAAAAAGATACAGATATTAGATACTAATATCTAGTTAAAAGTGAGTAATTCCAAACTAGCAATTAGTATAAAGGTCAAAAATCAAGTGAAGTACTCTTAAGAAATATGCTCATTTATGGTATGATATTCTGGATAATTTCAAACTAAGCATTAGTAAACATTTGTTGTTGAGAATTGATTTTGAGAAATGCAAGAATGTAGCTTGAAGAGACACTAATCATCATGTCATTAGTGCTCAGTCTCTGCCTTAATAACTAGAAGGGAAAATGAGATCGAGCAATGAAGTAGATGGAGGTGTAGCTTGAATGCTATTTGCTTTGAACTTGTTTTCTACAAACCTTAAGCTGGAAGTGCTCTTCAGAGTATAAAATAATGCAAAGAGGAAGAAAATGAAAGATACATAGATGAAAGAAAAACTGTTAGTTTTTAGCCTCCAGGTAGGTGTATGTTGCTAAATATTTTTGTGTCTCAGACCTCTGAGAGTGTGTACATGTGTGTAGCAGATTTTCACTTGCTGCCTTCAACTTGTGAATATAGGAGCTGCTTCAAAAGCTGCTATGTTCTGTCCCAGAAATAACTGTAGTTCACCTGAAGTAGTCTTTGTGCCTTCTACATGTGCTAACATCCAGGTTATAAATAGGCGTTACTCAGATTTTAGTCTCTCCCATTTTAGATTAGGAAATTAGGATTGCCCAGAAGCGCAGAGAACCATGAAGTACTACGTGAAAAATTTGAGAGACATACAGGGAGGTCATAACATCAGTACAGACACAGTGGCTGTGTCATGTTAATAGGCAGAATATGCCAAAGTAAATAAAACAGCAAGACTAATATTCATATACCTAACCTCTTTTCCCACTCTCTCCAGTTGCTCCAAAACTGGTGGCCTTGTCCATCCTGTTTGCTGACAATGATCTCAAGGGCCTGTATGCTTCCTGAACCACATCTAAGCATGGTCTGGGTCATGCTGCTGACCTGGCCACAGAACATGTAAACAGTTTAACAGTCAGGGCCTTGATCCTCTTTGCCTGGTATTCTGGCCAGGACTTTGCGGGGTGTCTTAGTCACTCAGAGACGTATTTATTGCAATTACAGATGATAGTAAATATAATTCAAATAGGGTATGTCAAACCACCAAAATGTTTAAAATTGGGCAAGGAGGTCTTCATGTGTAAGATTTGTACCAGTGTGCTTCCAGAGCATCTTCTGGGAATGCTTCGGATAATCACAATTCTACGTCTGGCTCTATATGCTTTGCTACAGCCGTGTTTTCTTTCCACACATTTTCAGTTGTCATTCACTACAATCTGCTCAGTGGACTGTTTCCACTCAGTCTTTGTAATCCTTTGAACTGTACTCACTTCAGAAGTGCTGACATTTCATCTTTTAAAGAAAGGATTTTATTTAAAAATAAGGATTGAAAACAGTCTAAAAGCTCGATCTTAAACACTTACAAGGTAGTTCACTATAAAATGTGTATTTGCACACAGCAGATTTTTAGGAATGTTCTTATGTAGTGGAAAGTGTTTGCTTTCCAAATAGCTTTTGATAACCCCCTTCTTTAATTGAAGAAGATTAAAAGGAAAAACCTCATTTTGTTCACTAAGAGTTCAGTAGATTGGCCTTTACATAGTAAGGAGAAAACATTCCATACTGCACATATATGGTCTAGAGTAGATTATATTAAATGTGATAGGAATGTTTTTTTGAAGCTGAATCTATATTCATTAAATTCTAGATGTTACACAGGGTCTGCTTTCTGTAATTACTTGATAGAGTGATTTTGCTTCCTCTCCCTTAGCACCTCACAGTTCACTAGAGGATATTTTTTTTAATGTGTACTGTGAAGTTTTACTGACTTACCCATGAGTTCTAAAGATCTGTGTTTCCCATTGCTCCTAATGTCCAGGGGAATTATACAATTTCACAGACACAGACATGGTTTACATAACTTATCTGCAATGATAGATATAGTGTTTCAAAATTTGCTACTGAATTCACCTTAACCTAAAGATGTAGGCATACAATTTAGCTATTTTTTGTATGTTTTTCACAGAAGTTTTAATTTTGATCTTTCTATATTCCAGTTTGATCAAGGTTTTTTTTCATCAGAAAGAGATTGTAAAACTAGGTAGGTCTCCAGTGATAAAAATCAATATTGTCACAGTCTTGTACACTTTACCTTTAGGATGTGCACCATAAAGCTTTTCCGTCAGCAATTAGATCTTAAGCTATTTAAATTGATAGTTCTTTATTGCAACCACCTTACAGACATTACTGTCCTTTTTTTATAATTTTCCGTGACATATTGTCTTCACCAAGCACTGCATAAAATAGTCTTATTAAGCTGGAACTGGCAGTTTCCTTTATTTTGTGGCTTTTGTACCAAGAAGTTTTAAGGACTTTTTGTTCAGATGGCCCGAGAATGTCTGCTGAATTGCCTCATGATCTTTTGGCCAGTTCTTACTTGTCTTTTAAACTGGTGGCAGAGCTCCCATTGATTTCATTTAGAGCAGTAGTCTTGCCTGCCTTCTACCTTTCCGTCCATTCTGCTTTTGACTTCATTTGTTTTTGTAGTGCAGATGTGAGAATCTGTTTTCATAACATAAGTTACCTTTTCTGTCTATTTGTTGGCAATTTTCTCCCCTAAATTTCTGATTTCACATAGCAGTGAGTAACATAAGTGCATATTCCTTTGTAAATATTTTGATATTCTGTAACTTCCTATGACTTCTATCATGATCTATTTCCATATCATTTATTTGTTTACCTCCATATCACTGACATATTCTGTTGCTTGCAGGTTAGCAGTAGGATAAATTACATGTAGTAAAGCAGCATCTGTTTGGAGTTTCTGAGGTCCACAGGCCTGGAACTCTATTTGCATGTAGTTCGGCAACTGGTCTTTAGGGAAAACTGCCTGAGATACCAGCTGCTGTTTCTGGATTCTCCCATCTCAGCACTTCTTTTCAAGCTGAGGTGTGTTGTTGCCTCAGTGAGGCACACAGACTTTCTCCCTGTAGAACCTTTAAAATTGCACACAAGTTGAGAAGGTAAATTGTCAGTGAGGCATTTCATCTCTGTACATTTAGACTTCATTTTGAAACAGAAAATAATCAATGCATGCATACATTTGCATGTTCTCCTTACTTTTCTATAGGACCATCTTCTCTGTGAGATACACAGTAAAAAATTGGTTTTTCTTGGATATATTGCAAGGCCTTCAGTTTTTTTAATTATGCATTTTCTACTGTTTGAACTATTAACAATAGTCAAGTCTCATTTTTTCTCTGGTTTTGTTAAGAATTTCTTGGGAATCTCAAGAGATGATTGCTGGGAACTCCTGCATCTTGGATGAAAGAGCAAAGAAAGTTGAATGCTTAACAAAAGCATCCTTGATCCCATCAAGCAACTGAAAAAGGGTTTTTAAAAATAAACTATGAAAAATTTAAAAAAAAAAAAACCCAAACAAACAAAAAAAAAAAAACACTGAAAGAGTTTTAAGAATGTTTCAAAGAACTTTTTTCCACCCAATTGCTCAGCTTCAGTCTCTTTACACAGTGTCCCTAGTTATCCATTCACCATGCAATTTTCCAGTGATACAAGACCTGGTTAGCTTTTTTATTTTTCCTCTTTTTTTTTCTCCTCTGAATATAAATAAAGGAGGGAAACAGAGATCTCTTACAAGATTCCTCTTTGCCTTCTTCACAGAAACACCATAAAGAAACAGCAGCAATAATAAAGTTTGTGCATGGTTTTTCCTTTTCACCTTTAATTAAAAGGTGAAACTTAATATTGGCCGTTGTTTTGAACATAGTCTTTTGTGCTCATATATTTCAAGCTGGTAAGGGGAAAAATTGTGAGCATTTGTCTTCATTTTGCAGTGGTTGTGAGCCACTATCCGCTCATTAAGGTGTTAACATTAGCAGACACAGGAAACTGGTGTGCAGCTGGGAGAACATGTGGTGAGAGGTGTTAATGGCTTCATGTTATCTCACAGTAATGGTGACATTAATGAGTCTCCTCTCTAACTCAGACAGTTTACACACTACCATGTAGCATCACTGAATTAATTACTGAATTTTCATTTTGTAATATTTGATGACATTAGGTTTAGAGCTGTCTAGAGACAATTGTTTATCGTTTTCCTGATAGACACTAACAACCTTAAAAATTCTCATAAAATTGTTAGATGATTAAATCTTTTCCTTCTTTTTTCAAACAACCATAAAGGCAATAATAATACTTGTTACCTGGGATGTTATTAAATATATTTATTACAAAGAACATTTGAATAAAATTAATTAAAGTATTATATTTTTATTAGCTACCTTTTTTTTTAATGGGGAAAAGATCATCAACTATGATGATCTTTGTGAGTCCTTCACAGTCATCATAAATATGAGTTCAAAAATACTATTCTGATTACTGGTTAGTTTGCTTGGGTTTATTTTTAAAGACAAGAAAAATCCAAGAAAAGAAAAACACTAGCTGAAGATCATTGCTGGTATTTCAGTAGAGCGCTTCAGCGTTTTATTGCCTGTTATTTATATCTCAGTCATGCTGAGAGTGCTTGCTGTTGTGCTGAATGCTGCACAAAGGTATTGTGATATACTTTGTGCTGAAGGTCTTGAAGATATAAATAAACAACACAAAAAGTAAAAGGAAGAACAGAACACCATGAATAGATGTGCTCACATTCACAAGGAGAGGATGGAAGACAGACTGGAATCTAGCTGAGAGGTCTATGCCCTGGCTCACACTGTCTTTTTGGAGTACTCTGAAGCTAAGTTTACCATGTGTTTTTACTGACATAGCCTTGAACAAGGAACAAGCACTGGCTGGTGTAGCTATGCCAACAAAAGTCTCAGGTGTGACAGCTGCATTAAGCAGCATATGCTGCATGAAGAGCAAGGTAGACAGATTGGATTGAGGAAGTGTGAGGGCAAACTTGAGACAGGGATAACGTACCCACCTCAGGAACATCTTGTAGTCTTGCAATACTCTACTCTTCTTGAGAACTCTGTGCCAAATCATCTTCTTCGAAGACATAGGGTGGGGAATGCCCTATTAAAAGACAAAAATAATTATTATTTTTAAAATTATTGCTAAAGCAGTGTTGTATGACTGCCTTTAACTCACAGAAATACTGAAGTGATCCAAAATAAGTTATTGTGATTTCTGAGATGCTCATTCAGTTGATTGACAAATTGTGATGTGAATCGGGAAATGTTTTACTGTTTTCTTTCCTTTTTTTCCCCAGGAATTTGGAAAGTCCTGGGAGGAAGTGCAGTCAGAGGACGACCGGGAATTACTAGATAACCTAGAAGAGTAAGAGTTACTTATGTGCCCATTACAAAGGCTTGCAAGACCATTATTTTTGAAAGTAATTACAGGGAAAATGCTGTGCATAGTTAGGACGCAGTTAAAATTCATCTAAGCCAATCAAATCAATTCCAAATTGTTCTCATTAAAACCACATCTCAGCAATGAGAGCTGTAAGCTTCATATTTCAACCACAAGCCTATTTTTCATTTGGCTTGGGCTTAAACAAGTGCCTTCTGGGTTTGTAATGATGTAGACAAAATGGATTTTTTTTTTTTTTTTTTTACTTTTGTACCAAAAACCAGCTGAAAAGCTTTTGCTCAAATATAAGTATCAGGAGTAAGCATCAAAAATGTCAGCGTGAGAAAGAAATTGTAGGAAAAAATCTGATAAAAAGGTAATAACTAGAGATTAAAGCAGGATTTCAAATGAAGCTTCTCAGCAGTGCTGATTGAGGGTAACATCCATCTCATCTGCATTCTTTTGTGGTCCAGGACCCCAGATCACTGCAGAGGTGATTTCCTTGGCTGTAGGAAATGGAATAAGCAGGAAGTAAATGAGTATCAGGATCCCTGATCTTCCTGGTTCTCTCTGTGACTTAAGCTTTATTTTACTTAGTTATACCTGGTTGAGGAATATTTCTATTTCTCAGCAGTACTAGGGTTTTAAATGGATGTGTTGGTAAAGTATTCTCTGTGTGCATGTCTAAATGTAGCATTAATTAGTGTCTTAGGAATAATTAATATTTAATAAGTAAATAACAGAGTAAGCTCTGCCTGATTATGACTTTGGCTGGTGTATTGAAATATTAGAAAGGTATAATATAATTTTAAAAGACTTTATAAAAATATATAGTGAAAGCAATATTTGATGACTTGTCAAACTGGATAGAAATTGAAGTTAATATCCTGTTTGTTAGTGCAAACAGTTTCAAGTAGGACTTAATGCCTGTCTACACAGGAATTACCCAGCAGTAACTGCTCAGTTATTCTCGAATTTGTAATATTTTTTAGACTTGTAATCATATATCCAGCTATAAATCCACACTATCTCTTGCCCCCTTTAAAGTACTCAGTTTCCCTGTATTTATTTCTAGTCCTATAACTGCAGAGTCTGAAGGGCCCTTTCACAAAATGTGTCTTCCCTTCTCCACAATTAAATGAATCTTTTTGACTTTTATTCATAAGAGACTGGTCTGACTGGGAAGAGCATCCTGTATGTGCAGTTTGCCTGTTCTGTGAACAACAAGCAGACACCACAGAAAAACTGTATCTTCACATGCAGGTAAGACTTGTTTTAAATGACAGTTTTTTCATCACTTTGGAATTAAAAATTGAGTTTGTAATGTCTTCGTTAAGATCAAATCAGCTGCTGCATTAGAATGCCCTCTTCAGTACAGAACTAAAGTACTGCATGTGTCTCCAGCATCTGTTCTCTAAAATATGCAGAGGAGTCAAGTTTTACATTAAGAGTATGAATGTACAGGCTGTTACAGACACTAAAGAAGTAGCATCTTTAATATCATAGTGGTTTGATGATTAAATGTATTTAATGGTTAGCATCTGTGTTTCAGTTTTAATAAACTAGTTAACAGGAGCATTACAGTTTAACAGAATGTGAAAGTTTCTGATGAAACAAAACTTTGGGGATTTGTTTCATGTATTAATGTTTGTATCTCTATATTTGTATGTCTGTGTCAGTCTATGAAAAGCTAAGCTGTTTTTAACTTGAAATAGTAGAAGTAGTGGAAATAGATTTTTTTCTTTTCTTTTTTTTTTCCTCCAGAAATCACATGGATTTGACTTTCCTAAAATAAAGTCAGAGCATGGTGAGTAAGAGGTGTTGTAATTGTCAGCGTTTGCCACTAGTGTGGAGAAAACCACATCATAAGAATAGAGGAAAACAACTTTATCAGTTTTATTTTTGCATGAACATTTAACTTTTCCGTTATGGAAACTGTTTCTGCCAGCTTACTAAAGCAAGCCAAGGACACTTTATTTTTCTGGAACTGTTGTTAGTGCCAAGGATGTGTGCTGTTTTCTTTAGAACCATTGGATTCTTTTGCAGTGGCTTCTACAGATACCTGCTCTCTGAGTCCCAGGTCTGGCTGCTGGAGCCCTGGAAGTAGTATTGTTATTATGCCTGTTGATACTTGCTTGCAACTTAGAAGGCTGTACTCTAAGCTTTGTTTGACCAGTGTTGCTTTCTGCTGTAGAACAGAATCATTTAGGTTGGGAAAGACCTTTAAGATCATCTAGTCCAACCGTTAAAGCAGCACTGCCAAGTTCACCACTAAACTGTGTCCCTATAAGTGCCACATCCACATGTCTTTCCAATATATCCAGGGATGGTGACTCAACCACTTCTCTGAGCAGCCTGTTCCAATGCTTTACAAGCCTTTCAGAGAAGAAATTTGTCCTAATATCGAACTTTAACCTCCCCCTTATTGCTTGTTACCTGGCAGAAGAGACAACCCCCACCTGGCTACAACCTTCTTTCAAGTAGACCTAGAGAGTGATAAGGTCACCCCTGAGTCTCCTTTTCTTCAGGTGAAGCAGGGGGTCAGTCATTGCCCTGGTCTTGCTGGCCACGCTATTTCTGATACAAGCCAGGATGCCATTGGTCTTCTTGGCCACCTTGGCACGCTGCTGGCTCATGTTCAGCTGGCTGTCAACCAACGCCTCCATCTCCTTTTCCATCAGGAAGCTTCCCCAAGCCTGTGACACTGCATGGGGTTGTGTGTCTCAAGTGCAGGACTCGGCACTTCTCATTGTTGAATGTCACACACTGGCATCCTGCCCCAGGCTCGTCTCTAGCGAGTCTGGTTTTATTCTTTTCCCCCTTCAAATCTAGTTTAAAGCTGTCTCAATGAGTCCTGCTAACTCCTGTGCAAAGATCCTTTTCCCCCTTTGAGACAGGTGTATCCTGTCTGTTGCCAGCAGGCCTGGGATCATGTTGACCAATCCGTGATCAAAATTCCCAAATTCTTCCAGTGACAGTGGGCTCAGAGCCGGATACTAATCTGCTGACTCTTCCTGTTTCTTCCCTCGTTATTTCCTGCAACTGGAAGCAGAGGAGAAGAGTGTCTGTGCTCCTGAAGTCTCTCTTGATTGCCTTCGGACTTCTTATTGCAACTTCATCACTGCTCACCTGAAAAATCAGTAATGGATAATTACCCATGAGGGTAGTAAGCTTTCTCATCACACCTTTAACCCGGGCACTAAGGAGGCAGCAGACTTCCCCAGGAAGTGAGTCTGGTTGGCATATTGGGCCTTCTGTTCCCTCCAAAAGGGAGTCTCGTATGACAATGATGTGTCTTTTTTTCTTTATGGAAGTGATTTTCATCCAGGGCATAGGCTGACTTAACCCCAGTGACAGTTTCATGCTGGATGAACTGTTGTCCTCATCACTGTTGGGTTCCACTTGCAGAGGCTCATACCTGTTACTCTGGGGAACTTGGGCAGGTGGGGCACTCACAGAGAAGACATGCCTGCCTCACAGGGCAGGGACTTGTTGCCATTATCCTCTGTCCCTTAAGTCACTGTGCTCAGGCAGGCGGAGGGAGAGCAGGAAATCCTCCATATCATGTGTCCTGTCTGCCCCTTGGGCCTGTCCCAGGGGACAGGCAGGATGCAATTCCAGTAGTCAGTCTCTTTCTCATTCCCTGATATTCCTCAACCTACTTGCCTCCCCCTGGAGCTCTGTCACTAGACTTAGAGACTTAGACTGAGAAAAAGCAAAGTGTTTGCAGATTTTACATTGAAAGAAGAGTTAGTTTCCCTGCCGTAGAAAAAAGCATTTGTTCAGTTAATTTGCTAAGTTACAGCATTCAGGCAGTGCTGGTCTTCAATAAACTCTTATCAATCTTTATGCTTAATCCAAGAAAGCATTTTTAGATTAAGTTTTACATTTCCCAAGTGTTTGTTTGCTACCATCTCTCCCAGGTCTGAACTTTTATCAGCAAGTAAAGCTCGTGAATTTCATCAGAAGAGAAATCCATCACTGTCGTTGTTACAACTGCCAGGAGAAATTTCAGTCCAAAGAGGTATTGATAAGTCATATGGAAGAGACCAAACACATTGCATTCCTGCCAGCCAGATCTACATGGGATCAACCACAGTAAGGGCAAACATATTTCTTTCGGCATTTATACTTTTACTTGATAATATCTGTGAAACAGTAAGTCAAAAGTTCTGAGTTTTGCCAATACAACAGTGCCCTGAGGTCCCCAACTCTACTGGTCCAGATAAAATAATAAGTATTCTCAAAACTACTCAGAATTAGAAATCTCTACAGTCTGAAGCTAAAATGAATGTGAGATAATGCTCTTCTAGTTGCATTCAGGATGCACTGTCGCCATATATGGGGTCTGCATTTTAAAGTCAGTATACTAAAGAAGTCTGTTGTTGCAAAATTGTTCTAGAACCACATCAGACCACTTCTTTTGTGTGTCTAGTGTAGATGTATTCATGATGTCTACCTAACTTTAGGCATCAAAACAAGTTGATTGTTTACCCATAATTTTTTCCACAGAAAATAGAGATAGCATGTAACAAAACACTGGTTCAGACTCTAAGTAGGCTGTATAGGTCCAGGGGATGATGCTGTACTGGGTAGTAGAGCACAGGGAGTGTTCTAACTCAAACACCTCAGTTCAGCATTTGTTGTGGGACAAATCTGTATCTGCTGTCTCAGTTATGACAACATATGGGTGAAGAAAGAGGGGAAAGGCTCGTCAGTTGTCAGCTCTTCTCTATGACTGATACATCGTACATCATCATGGCTGGGCTTCGCAGATGAAGATTTGGGAAGGGCTGTACCCACATTTGTTACAAGCGCGCTGGTGGCTAAAAAGGCCAATACGAGATAGACAAGTCCAGTTGCAAAAGGCACAGCAGGACTCCTTACCAGTTGATTTTTTGGGTGTTCTGCGTACTGTCATTCCAGACAACCAGACTGGCTCATTTTTTCCTTTTTTAAAAGTCTAATCTCATTAAAAAATGTAATCTCAGCCTCTCGAACAAAATATATGACTATCTAGTAATTACATCTTGTTACTTTCAGGTATTATTTTCCTACCTATGAAAATGATACACTCCTGTGCACGCTGTCAGACAGTGAAGATGTGATAACTGAGGATCAAAGTGAAGAAGTCCCTGTTGTAAGCGAAGATATATCCAGTCTAAAAGCTCTCAAACAGAGCAGTGTCTTAAACCAGCTCTTGTGTAAAGAGAACAAGAGTTGGGAGAAATTTTGAAGTACAGTTGCTGACCTTCAGTTCTTCTTCTGCAAGACAAAAAAAAATCTATTCTTTCACTAATATCGAAATACAGTTTAACTCATAGCTATTATTATTACAGGACAAATATTAGAAAGTGAATGCTAAATAAAATTTAAGTGTTAACTTTATTGGTTTGTCTTCCTTTAAATTTTAGCTTTAAAATTGAATGCTGAATTTTCTGCTTGGCTTTTCAAATACTGTTAGTATTATTTACAAATTTTTCATCTTTTTTATTTTTTTCTGAATAAATCAAAATTGGAGTTCTATGTGTCTTGATACATGTGCCAATGAGTGAATCTTCTATGTGTTATTGCTGTTAGAGAGCAAATGGAAAATTTCTTGGTTTGTTACATAAAGCAAATTTTGCTATTTTAACCCTAGACCTCCTGCAAAGTGAAAGCAGATCTGTATATCTCAATATTTATCATCAATATATAAGATATATGGTGCCTCCTCTGACAACTAGCTCAGAAACACCACTAAAGCTCTGCCTGGCCCATGGATATCTGATTGCATGGAAAGCTGCCAATCTGAAGCCTAAAAAAGCATAGGAACAGTTGCAATATCGTTTGCATCAAAAATCCAAAGAATTTAAAGTTTACCTCTTGTGTATGGTTGTGAACTGAGATGTAAAAGGATGACTGTGGGGATAGCAGACACATAAATCCAAATAAAATCCTCAAAATCTCAAGTCCAGAAAAGTTACCATATTTCCTTTAATACTGAACTTTAAAGTTTCCAAAGTAACAGAAGATCTTCAGCATGTCCAGAAAGCACCTCAGACTTGACAGGGCAAAGCTGCTCAGAGCATAGATCCTGCTAGGATAATCCAAACTAAGCATTCCTGCCTCTTGCCTCTGAAATCTTAAGTAGTTGCAGAATTCAGGTTTAGCTTTCCATAATATATATAACCGCTTTCAAAACTGGAGTACATTCTTTTTTCTTCTGTAGGTCAGTGTTAGAGCACTTGCTGAAAATATGGGAGTCTCAGCTCAGTGCCCTTCCCTGACGGAGAAGATTCAAAGCCGAAGCTTTGCCTTTGCACAGCTCTCTACCTGAAATGCATTGCTGTCAATAAGAGTTGTTGTTGTCTTTATATGGTGATTGAGAATTCTCAAGCAGTCCCTGGGAGCAGGGGCTAAAGTGAAAATCTTTACCCGTGTTCTGCTAAGCTTCCGTATCCAGCCTAATTCACCCTGCAATCTATGTGCATCAGTTTCTTCTCAGTCGCGCTGAACTAGTTTCCTCCTGCCATTACACGTCCCCCTCTAGCACCTCTCTTTGCTTCCCCTTTCTTATTTTCTCTTGGGCCCAGGTGCTCTGGAGATAAGAACAACAAGATGCTGCAAATGTACTAATACAGATCAGCCACATAACTGTACAGTGAAACAGAAACAGAAGCAATATCTGACTCCGTCATTAGGAAATGGCATAGAAGTAGTTCAGCAGCTGCTGAGAATACAGACAAAAAGAAAGGCGACACATGTAGTCATACATTCGCATTGGTACAAAAATTTAGGAGGAACAACCCCAATATTTTTGAACTAGAATGTCTGACCATCTTAAAGAAGCTGTAGTCTGTACTTCTTGCATTTGTAATACTCTTAATTTTATACAGTTGCAACAGCTGTTGCTGCTTTTTTTTCCCCCTCAAAGGTAATTTTTGCCCAAGCATTTATTTTCTCCCTAACTTAGAAATTGATTTCAGTCTTTGCTTTTCAGTCAGATTCTTAGCTGAGATGGGAGTAAGAGTTAATGGGGTTTATATTAATGATAAGTGTGTTGGGCAATGGAAAAATCAGTGCAACACTATGGCAGCAGCACACGAATGAGTTTTATGGCAAGCCAATCTCAGAAGGGCAGAATAAGGGAAAAATAAAATTTTAGTGATATATCATAAAGTGAAATTACAAAACATTTCCTAATGGTAAAGAATGTGATGCTGAGTCACATCTCTACAAAATGAAAACAATATCAGCAATATGAAACAACTGCTGTTCCTGGTTCTAAGAGAAATTTGAAATAGCATTTTTTCCATATAGAATTAAGAGAATATCTAAAGAGAAATTGTATGAATAACATGGAATGGTTGTCTGTTTTGAGTTAACAGAAAAAGAGACTTAGGAAAAATTTATCAGCAGTGTATAACTGTTCATTGAAAATGTAAGGAACATGAGGAATCAGATTAGGGTAGAGCTTGTTACTTCAGATATGAACAGCAGGCAACAAAGTAGGTTTAAGTCATTGTGGGTTCACAGAGAAGATTGGGTATGGTTTCTACAGTAAAATGAAGCATTTTCATTTAGCACAATGATGCTTCTAACTGACATTTTGCTGGAGCATACTTATTTGTTTATGTAATACCCACAATTTTTCCTAGGCATTCTTTTCCTCTTATCTGTTTTAAAACTGAAATTATCTTTTTGTCACAAGTAGGGGACCTGGTAATGACTTCATACAGTGTATAGGCTCAGCTGTTATGTGAGCAAATATGGTCTTCTAACAAAAGAGCATTTTTGGTAGCATTACAACAAAAATAATATAATAATACCATAAGTCATGGAGTGGACAGAGTTGGGGTTGGCAAAGGCTCTTGGGAGAATCAGATCAGAAGAACGGGTGCTGCTAATTGGTATGAAAAAATCTACACTGTTTTAAGTCCAATGCACATTTCTTAAAATAATATTTCCTCCTTAGCCTAGACCTTGACTCCTTATACACGCTCACTTTACTGTATCTAAAGCCATCCCCATGTTTAGAAGGACCTGGGTTAAAGGAGGAAAAATGTTTGTGTCCCGGTGACTTTTATAAATTTCTTAATAATGTCTTTGGTATTTCTCCACACTCAATTTAGTCTGGCAATTCTGTGCAGAATCTGACTTAAGGAGTTAATGGTTGATGACTTTTATTTAAGACTCTTACTGTTTTCAGTTTCTGTATACATTTGCCTGGCATGCTGTGAGAGCTGTCAGTGGCTGCTTTCAGCTGGTTAAATGGTAACTGATGTGCCAAACACCAAATTAAGTCTCTGAAGAGTCTCTCTGCTGTTGTCATTTCTCAGTGCCATCACTGTGTCTGAATTCCAGTCAGATCTCTACTAGTGAGTGAGATGTTTGGTACAGCCTCCCTGTCTTTCTTCCATTTTACGGAGTGGTTGACCTAAATCTGACACAAGAAACTGAACTGTAAGCAAAAGTACACAAGGTTACCAGTATCCACGCTCAAATTCAAGCGGAGAAGACGTTGGACATATGCCTTGGCAGCATCTATTGTCCACTGCCAATGAACAGTAGCAAATTTCACAGCTCTGCTCGGGACTTGATACTGTATTAAATGTTCTTGCATTATTTGCATTTTACTTACACCTATATAGGGGCCAGAGAGAATCAAATGTCCCTAGCGAAAAGCTGTATTTCACAGAGGCAACATGAAAAATACTTTGTTTTCACAAAGAGATTTTGTTAAGTCACAGTGCTTTCTGAGACTTAGCTACAATACAACAACTGCAGTGTCTACTGGTCAAATTATGCCCTCGTCTATCTCTGCCAGGTGTGTCAAATTTGGTTAGATAACAACTGTCACATGGAGCAAGTAATTTGTAACCCTAGAATGAATTACTGCTTCCATGTGATATTCATTAAAATCGGCTGCTATAGAAATACTACATGCAGCAGTGGTTGCATGTAAAATTAATTCCTTTTCTCCATGAGCACTGAATGTGCTGTTCTTCCTAGTGGGTTTTTTTTCCTTTCTTTTGGAAATTTTCTGCTACTAAGCCATGCTCAATTTGACTTCTTTCTCCAGTGAAATTTTTAGTTGCTTCTTGAATTTGATTTTGCATCTTTTGCCAAAATTCTTGCTCGTGAAGATACAGACAAGGTACCTGTTTTAAAGATTACTACATAATCTCTTAGTTGAAGTCACATTTTATATTTTACATCCCTGATAAATTCACTCTGTCCATAAGAAGAGCAGGGGAATTTAGGATATTTACAGCTAAAAATACATCAGTTGTGTTTTAACAAATTTAGATAGAAATAAAAGTATTTTTCTTCAACAAATGTTACGTGGAACAAAGTTCTCTCCATCTGTTTTACCATCCTGAGACCAAAAAGCTGCCTATGTGTAGATTACATATGAATCTAATGTCTAACCTCCTAGTCTGTGGATCCTTGAGTCATTCAGCTCACCCTAAAGAATTACCAGTACCAGACCATTAGTATTACTGCTGAGCACCTGAACAGTGGAAAGATGCAAATGTGATTCTTTACTATGAACAAATGTCTCAAAATTTCAAATTCTGAGGGGGTCGTGCAATCCACTTGTATGTCACATCACATCACATGAGAATGTAGTGAACTCCCTCAGAATAATTACAGGCAGACTTCTGGCACAGCCATCAGCCACAGCTTCATTGAGTGGTAGGAGACTTTTTATTTCAATGGTCTCTGGAAATATCAGAACAATATAGGAATAAATAATGCAGGAATTGCTCTAATTGCTCATTAGAGTCTGTAAACTGCCTGCACAGCTTGGCAGAGCTGAGCACTGCTTTAACCTTTAGGGGGTTTTAGCTTTAAACTTCCAATTGTATTGAGGTAGTTTCATTATTTTCTTTTGCATATCTGTCTTCACTTATGGAAATATTGCTATAAATCTTCATAAATATTTGACTTGTTTTAATAAACTGATATTTTTGTTTGAATCTAGGTGAAATAAAGAGAAAATAAGCAAGGATAGAGCATTTGTGAAGAAGGATCATGAATGTGTGACAATGTCGGCCTTCTATAATTTTACAGACACTGACTTGCCATGTATCCTTTGGCAAATATTGCTACTTCCTTCTGCCTCAGTTTCCTAAACAGCGAGACTGTGATTATATAATAACAACTGCCAGGAAAAAAAAGTTGCATAGAAGATAGGATTCCAATGTATGCATACAGCTTATCTGCATTAGTCAGGCTTTCATATTTAAAATACTTAGTTCAAAAGGTGACTGGATCAATCACAGTCAAAAGAGTTACTCGTGCAAGAAGAAACTTAATTTTGGGGTTACATTCCCATAAGGAAACAAAAGTTAAATATTTTGAAATTTACATTTTTTAAAAAGAAGAATTAACTTCTGAAT